TCCAAAACCCATCTGTAAACATTTTAATTCTCTATCAGCTTGCTGGAGGAAGTCATTAGAGAGGCCAAATGAGGCATCACCACGTGCCACTGCGATAAGCGTCTGTCAGTCAAGGAAACATCAGCCTGCAGGTCCTTCCTGCACCCTCGTTCTCCCAAACCATGGCAGCAGTGCTTGGAGCGAAGGACCCACTGACCACTTTTGGCCATGGAGTAGGGTAGTATTTCAGGTGCCTTTTTAATCTGTTACTTGATACAAAGTCCTCTGGTTCAAGCAGGTTTTACACTTAATTTTAAGATACACCTTTGTTTACTAGGCAAACAAAAACTGGTAATGAAGTAAGAGCTGCAGTCAGAGTGAGGTAAGCAACCTGCTTGTCTTCCACTCAAGATTAAGAAGTTTCAACATCGAACATTGACTCTGCAAGGTAAGCAGCTCATGTTCTGGTGAAGAGCTCATCTGCTCTTCGCTCCATCCGAGCGCACCACAGAGCACGGTGTGAGATTGCTGAAGGACATACAGCAACCTGTTCTGTGACTTCAGTATCACACCCCGTAGATACCATCACCAAATCAAAAGGAACCTTCATTGCCCAATTTGCAAATGCCTCCCACCTCAGCAATCTCTTCCCCTCTTATCCCTGGTCCTCCTTGCCTCCATCCCCAGTAGCACCACAGGCACTGAACCACCCACAGAAGACAACCATGGCATTTTGTGCTGCTGCTCGGCACCAGAACACCACTCTGCTTAGAGAGGGAAATACATGCAAGGAAAAGACCTCATCGCCAATTAATTAACAGCAGAAAGAAAAAGCCAGAAAGGACCTGTTGCAAAAAATAAATAAATAAAAATAATAAAAAATTATTTCAAATAAAGCTTTGGGTGATTTGGGGGGTTTCCTTTCCAGGTTTCAGCTCACACTTACCGTTCCCAGGAACGTTTACAAGCAGTTTAAAACCACAATTAAAAGAACACAGTCAGTTCAGGTCTGAAATCCAGCACGGTTATTTCCCGTAGAAGTACTGAAACCGCGGAACGCGTCGCTGCAGCACCGGAGGGTTATTTGCTCCAAGGACCTTTTTAATATGGCTGTATTGTAACACTGCAGTGCAAATACCTCTCCGCTCACGAGAAAAAATTCAGCTCAGAAATAACTTGTGGGCTCTGAGGAGCGGCACGTCGGCTTCGAGCCGCGCTCATCCAACAACGGCGTCATTTAACGAGAGCGATGCCAACGACTCCGGGCACCTCTCGGAGCACCGAGACAGCCCCCTCCCCGCACACCGACACCCGAACGGCGGCGGAGGGACCGTAGCGGCGGGCAGGACGGCACGGCAGCGCTCCCGCCACCCGCAGCCAGCCGTGCCCGCAGCCCTCACTCAATCCATCCCGGCACGAAGCCGGGCTGCACCGCACCGCCGCGGAGGCACCTCCCGAAGGAGTTACGCCTAATCGCTCACCAACCTGACCGAGCGTGAGCACCTCCGTCTGCCCCAAGTTCTCCCGGCGGCTGCAGCGGTGCCACCGACTCCGCGCCCCCCGCGCGGGGCTCTCCCCGCGGCCGCTCCCACGCGCCGCGCAGCTCCGCCGCCCCTCCGTGACGGAACGACCGCGGGCAGCCGGCAGCCCGCAGCCCCCGCCTCCCTCCCTCCTACCGGCCCTCCCTCCCTCGCTCCGAACGGCCCAAACTTTGCACACAAGTGCTCCCCATCTCCACGGTCCCCCTTGACGAACTGGGACCCCCCCCCCGCCACCCACACCGTACAACCCGGCCGCCTGCTCCCTACCTGCAGCCGCCTCGGCCGCCCGCAGCGCCGCGCTCATCCTCCTGTGGTGGCGAAGCGATGCGCGCGCGCCCGCGGCTGAGCGCGCAGCCGACCCCGCGCGCAGCTCCGCGCCGCTCTGCGGCCCCTGCAGCCACCGCGCTACCGCATTCCCCCTAATAGCTGGGCGCGGCTCCGCGCCTGGCTGCATCCCCCCGCCCGGGGGTGAATGCTGGACCGGAGCCCCTCACAGGGAACTGCAGGAGGGAGTCCAGAGGTGACGGGACCTGGAGCACCTCCTGATGGGGACAGGCTGAGAGCCCCGGGGCTGTGGGGAACGGAAGGATGAGAGTGGATCTGATCAGAGCTGATCAATATCTCACTGTGGGAGTCAGGAGGATGGGGCTGGGATTTTTTCGCCCGTTTTCAGTGACAGAATAAGAGGCAATGGGCACAAATTGGAACACAGAAGTTTCACCTGAACATGAGGAAGAACTTTACTGTGAGGTGGCAGAGTCCCAGCACAGCTGCCCAGAATTGTGGAGGACCCTCCTTCGCTAGAGAGATCCAAACCCACCTGGACGTGTTCCTCTGCAGCTGCTGTAGAGAACTGCTGTAGTGGGGCTGGACTGGGGGAGAGTGCAAAAGTTCCTCCTGACCCCTATGGTTCTGTGGTTCTGAGACAGTATTTTTCACAGCCCTGACCTCTCACCAGCATGCCTGTGCCACTTACCTATCACAGCAGTGTTGGTTTCTCCTGCCTGTTAGGTTCCAGGTGCCAGCCCTGAGCCATCTGACAACAGCTGCTTCAGACACTTTGTTATCCCTAACTGGTGGACAATGAAAGGTGAACAAAGCTGCCAGACACCCTTATGGGCTGTGAGACTGAACCGTATCCTGATTGCCCTTCTCATGTTGAGTTGCTTCCAGTCTACTCCTTTCTGGGGTTTAGGAGAACGGGAAGAGGAGCAATGCCAGAACAACCTGCTCCAATCCCACCACATCCCCACTCCAACAATCAGCACAAAATGTTTGTCAATGTCAAGACTTGCATTCTTTGCTGTTCAGTTGTGGTGATGCTGGCACTGAGGCCCCAGCAGTTTTCTTACTGTTCTTCCCTGTTTTTGGAGGGAGAAGTTGGTAGGAAATGCACCAGGTTCAGCCAGCCATTGGGCTAAGCCACAGCGGGGGGATTGAAGAGATGGGGGTTTTGTTTCCAGATTCCTGCCTACTTTTAGCAGAATTGCTGAAGTTGGGGAGGGTGGTCAGTTGGACCTGGGAGGGAACTCCATGAGAAGCTCGCATGGAAAGAGCTTAACCATACGAAGCTTGGTACAAAGAGCATCAAATACGCAAATTCTCATCAGCAATCCCATCCAAACAGGAGCTGGGAAATGTCTGTAAAAGATGACTGCATGAGATATGTCTGCAAACGCTGTTAATTTCTGTTCCTTAACACAGATGGCTGAGCAAAAAGCCCGGGGATGCTGCAAAGGAGAGTGCTGGTGAGCTCGTGCAGAGCTGCTGGGGCTGCGTGCCTGCAAGCAGCAGGGAGCAGAGAGCTGGGAACAAGGCAACAAAAGCAGCAAGGAGGGAGTGCTGCAGCCACAGCCATAGCCAGGGACGGGCTGTGCTCAGCTCGGGGCAGGCAGAACTTGGCATGGAAATGAGGTTTCCCTGTCACGTTACTCAGCAGCTAAGGCAGACATTGCTCTGAGAAAGCAGCATGCAGCATGGACTCTGTTTTGCTCAGCTCAACTCAGAGGTTCGTTTAATTGCAAGTCAAAAAGTCCCATGTGGCAATGAACCGGTTAAGAAAAAGCTACGTTCACCCTCACATCTTGACAGTGACATCAAGGTCTCCCTGCTTATGTACTCATAGCAGAGCAAATTCCCTTTACAACTCTCATCCTTATGGGCTTGGAACCAAAGTATCAGCCATGGCACTAGCAAAGATCCCTGGAGCCAGGCATGCAAAGGCCCCCCCACCCGAGCTGCTGGGGATGAACTCTGCTGCCCTTTGCACCCAGGCATGACTAAGGGTGCCCCAGGTTAAGGTGCCCGCATGACCCAAAATTCCCATGAGGAAATCACACCTACCCAATGCACCTACCCTTAAAAACTCCCAGAGATGTAACTTCCAGGCAAGCGTGAATGCGAATGTCTGCCAAAAGAGAATTTTGACTTGCCCTGTCATCACCCTTCATCACAGCCAGGGCTTTTTTTTCCTTCTTTTTTATGACTTTAGGAAAGTATTGGCTTTCTCAAGCAAGACATGTGTCCTCTGATGGCACCTACCAAAAGAGACCTCTGATCTCTTATACAGTTAAGGCAGAGATATTTAATCATATGCATGCCCAGGAATAGTGCAAGTTTCACAAGCATAGATAAATGCTCTGACTTTTTGCATTGCAATCCTTTTACTTTAGCATTTGCCACCTGCAGATCTCTTGGAGTTTGACACATGTGCCAATACCCCCAATTTTACCAAAAAGACAACAGATTTGAGGTGTCTGCGGTTTGGCACTCTCAAGTAGATAAGGTAGCATGGGTTGCTTTCACATCATTCAAAACAATCCTTTAATAAATTGGATCCTTAAATAAATTACAAAAAAGATCTTGCTTTCCTGGAGGTTTCCTTCTGGCCTCTGTTACAAAAAACACCCTGATCTAGCAAACAAAGCAAGAGATTCCATCAGGCCTTGCAGGGGTAGCACTAACCAGACCACACGTCCCAGTGCTCCAAGTACCCTCTGCCTCCATCATCCCATCTGAAGGCATTTCTCTTTTATCCCTTTGCTGGAAGAAAGGGGAGGGAAGGCACATTAGTGGCAGCAAGTCAAAAGGGTTTGCTGAGATGCTTCCCCACAAAATGCATTGGCATTGCATCACTGTAACATTCACCACATGCTCTTACACTGAACTCCAATCTGAAGATTAGTATTTAAGGTGTAAATATTAATCTGGAGCTACAATCACAGTGCACACACCCACCCACCTCATCCACTGAAAGAATAACTAAGTAATTTTATGTTGCCTCCAGAAACACTACTTCTGATGGTGAAAGTCAAGAATCATAAATAATAATTGCATTATTTCTTCTTTCAAATGTGTTACTTCTGAGGAAAACAGCTGAGTGCCTTGTATTCCCCTTCTGAAGCATTTCAGAGATCAAACTGTAATAGTTTAAATCTGAATAATAAAAAATATATTAAATATTGAGAGTCACATCATCTGTTGTTGTTTGGAGGTATTTATACCAGCAGCAACACTACAGCCATCCAAGAAAGAAGAGGGAATGATGTCTATTTCTCCAGTCACAAGTACACTAATTTTAACAGTGAACTACTTCCAGATGAGACTTTATTGTCCTGCTCATGAAAATGGGAAGATGGTGGCTAGAGGGGAAGTCATGCTTTAATTTAACTAGAAATTAGTACAAAACATACATAATGTGGATGGATGTTTTGCAGAAATAAAGATGCAAAATGCAGCCAAGGAATTATCTGCTGTGAATTATTCACTTGGTTCTGTCATTTTCTGAACCCTTACGAAGGTTCTGTGGAAAGCAGAAAAAAAAAATATAAATTCAAGCATATGCAAAGCAAAACAGCATCAAAAGTCAAAGAAGTCTCCAAGGGAGATGAACTTCAATGCCAGGAGAGAGTAAACAAATGGAATTATTTACAATATAACGTTATCGTTTGCGATGATATTTTATTCATTATTTAATCACACACTGAGTCTCCCCTGTAGCCTGTGGTAGATGGTGCAGCCATTTTGTTCCACCTGCCATGTATCTATGTCGATGGCATCGTTTATTTAACGTCTGTGTGAACTGCACAACACGCTGCCTTGTGTTTGCAATCTATCCCCACCTGCTAATGGGGCGCACAGGCTGTGGGATGTTATTGGTTGATGTGGCTGGGCGCACAAAGTTCACCTTTTTTGCTCAAGCTGAGCCTTAGATTCTGTTGCTATTTTCGTATCCTCCGTGTTGAAGATGTCATTCCAGTATTCAAGTTCATTTCAAGAATCTCACTAGGATACAATTTGCATAACCACGTGTATCAATCCGTGCTATGCTTAAGCACCTCTTGGCTTAATCCCCTAATTTGCAGGAAGGGGTGGGGGCAAGGGGTGGTTCTGTTCAGCAATGCAAGTCCAAGAAAGGAGGATTAGCCTAATCCAGCTGCTGCAGCTATTCAATTTGGAGTCTAAGAATGATAAAACCAATTTTCCTAGTCTATCATGGTGATTGATTTGAGTAAAAAAAAAAAAAAAAAAGAGGGGGGGAGGGGAAGGAAATCAGGGTATAAGTTAATGAAATCAGTGGAGTTATGTCAAGTGATGCCACTGAGAATAAGGCCCTGCACTGGAAGCATCCCACTATTGCTGTGAAGGAAAGTCAATAAGTTATTAGAAACTATATCACGACGAGTTTATCAACGCACTTTATCCCCTCAAGCACTACTTTCCAAATACCAGGTATCACTTGTACTGCCACTTAAGGAAGTGAGGAGCAGTGAGGATGCTTGAAGCATCACCAGGCACTCAGCAGAGCCAGGAGTGGAAGGTGGCACTCCACTGTACATCCGAACTCATTAAGGAGATTCCCAGAGCTGCTGGCTGACACTGATGCAGGATCTGCTCTCGCTGCCAGTTCCACCCATGAGCAGATCCCCATCAGAGAGTTTTGAGCTCCCTTCCTCCTTTTTCTGCTCTCTGTGTGGTCTCGCTGCTGGTCCCCACCAGCACAATTGTGTGCTCTGTCCCCTTCCTATTGCATGGTCTCAAATAATAATGGCTCCAGCAAAGTCTCACAAAATGCTAGGTCCTTCAGATGGTGATTGCTGAAAAGGAACAAATGCAAGCCCACAGGCTGTGAGCAACCCCCTTGTTGCATTATGGGGATGTCATACACAGCTTGACTGAACTTCCCAAACGCATTTGATGCTGGCACTGCAAACAGCCTAATGAAAACTGCATTAGCTTCATTTACTGTAGGTGATTTCTTAAAGGCTGACCTGTATTCCTCTAATAACCCATCCCCACCTTCCTCATTCAGGGTGTGCATGGAGCCGACCGAGACCTCAGCACAGGCTCTGACACTGACAAATGCCTCTTTTTGATCACTTCAGGTTGTGTGAATCCATTGCATACACATCAAAATCAAACACAAAGTGAGGGGAAGCGTTAATTAAAGCACATCAAACACGGACTTGACAAGACTATGATTTAAGCATAAAACTGCCTCGAGAACCACGATTCAATATTTTGAATTGTAACCCACTTTTTATGTCACCGTACAGAACTGAAAAAAGAGAACATTTCCACCCCCCCCCTCCTTCCACACACACACCCTTCATCTGCTCTATTTCATCTTTCAGCTCTAGCTGGCAACTCTGTCTCAGTACCACCTATGAAAGAGGTGACAAAAACAGCTGGAAGAGTTGAAAGAGAAGAAAAACTTGTAAACAAGTTACCAGTTCTCATACCTTGTCCCCTAACTCCAAAGGCAGAAAGAACAACATGTCTTTCAGAGGATGCAGCTTTTCTCCTCCGGCTCCAAGGCTGAGAATTGCTCCATGCAACACTTCTGCAGGTTTGCCTGTGACTCTTTAACAGAGATCATCCTAAATCACAGGAATATTTAAAGAAAAAAACCTAGTAGGCACACACATGGAACTCATCACTTGCCTACTAGGAATTCATACTCTGATCATTAAGGAACAACGAGGGTTGATTTTCAAAAGGTTTACACTGGATGTAAATCTGATGTGTACACAAATGCTTTAGATCAGAAGTCTTGAGACTAAAACCTCATGAGATTCCTGATACTCTATGCTTAAACTGCTAGAAACTCGAAGAGAACATGAAAACTACAATTAAAAATAGAAATTAAGCAAACCTTTGAATCTACATGTACATACATAAATGACATAACCACTCCTCCTGCAGCCCTTGGAAGAGTCAGCCACGGGCAGCAACACATCAGTGTGGTACAACAGAGCAGAAACCCAGAAGCAAACCAAAGGACTAGCACTGGGTGTGGGCATATGCATCCCATATTAATTTGTTAAGTGCTTTCCAGCCTATCTCCCATCCTTTAATGTCAGAAAGGCTTATGAGAATATTGAAAAGGCCGGCCAAGCCTGGCCTTTGACACCAGGAGACGAGACCTCCACGTCAGAGCCTGTTGGGAGTATAATGCTAACTCTCCTCCAATACTGTGCCATTTCCTTTTATCTTTACTGCAGGTATATCCTCTTTCTTCCTCTTGATTTCAGGCTAGACGTTTCACTTTTTATGCTTCTCTATATGTAACACTCTTCTATTTGCTTCTCTATCTGAAGAAATGAATGCCTTTTTTATCAGTAGAAATTGATCACTTGCACTTCTGATGAAAATATCTACTCTGTCTGATGTTTCCAATTGTGCATCGTGGCATCCCAAGACACTGATCATGTGAGGCATGGCACTGCGATAAGATGCTCTTACACAAGGATTTTCTCCCAGAGCAGCAAGAATGTTTCCTCAGTCCTCCCCACTGTTTGCTGGAACCACAGGGCTGGCCCCTGGCTCATTTTGCCACCTTCTGCAGTAGCCTCAGCCTGGAGCCCTTTGTACGTCCTCAGTTTTACAACGAGTTTACCACCAAGATATCTTCGGTGCGCTGCTCCTTACTTGGATGTGACAGGGAATGAAATTTAGTTCACAGCAGGATTACTATTATTATTGAGTTGGATTCATCTGAAGGAACACAAATGTCATGCCGTTACTCCCATACATCATTTCCCGCTCTTTGCCATCTTCATTCAGAACAATCTCAGCATCCTTTATTATTGTCTTCAAGTTTGCATTTGCTGACCCAGTTTAATTTTCCCATTTGCATCTTCACGTTACCGCACGCAAGTTATTGAAGTTAATGCGTGTCATTTATCTTATTCCTTCCCCCAAAATGTGTACATTTGGAAATCTGATATTCATTACTCTTTTTGACAGATCCTGGTACTGCTTGAAAATGCTCCACAAGACTTATCTGCATTGGCCACATTGATTTATCAGATTAATTTAACTTCTTTGAAGAGGCTCTCGGTAATAATCAGCTCTATTGTGTTCACAAAAATAATTCTAAATGAAGAAATGTTAATTAAGATCCAGGGTTCTGATTTAGCTTATTGTAAAGATAAGGGGAGTTCCAAAATTCAGTTCTGTTTGGCTTCCAAAACCTCAAAGAAGCTCAGTGGTCCTAGAAGCAGAAGGCCACTTCAGATGCTCCCCAGCTGTTCTGCTTGTTCAGACAGCTGCTCTTGATCTTCCCTTGCGTTATCCTAAGGACAAAGCATACAGTGAAAGCATTAGTAAGGTAAAACTCCTCATTTCTTGGTGTAGGCAATATAATAGAGACAAAGGCTTCCAAACAAGAGGGAAATATATAAGAGAAAAAAAAGAAAACTGGGAGATGCTAGAGCATGGGTGGATCCTTTCACAAATCACACCAGTTGTGTTAAGAAGTGTACACTTTTATTTTTCCAAGCTTTCTCCATATTCTCAGGACCACCACCATCTCCTGAAGGATGCCTTGCTGTTTTCCAAGTAAAACTGTGTTCATTTAAAATGAATTGCTTTCGCAGCAGCTTCTCCTAATGCAAGCACTGTTAGCAAAACTACACCTATGTGTCTGTAGGTAGTGCCCCTTCAGGGATTTTCCAGCCCCCAGCAGGGAGAAAGGGCTCAGATACCAGTCCCTGTGGTAGCTACTTAGACTCAAGAACTGGTGAATGGCACTCAAAACATGCTTTGAAATAAGGTTAAAAACCAACAGTTGTGGGACTATCAAAGAGTCAATTACTGACTTCTTTACTTTTTCCAAAATAAAATATAGTTAGGAGAAGCACTTAATGCCCTGTCTGCATCTCAGTTGTGTTAATACTAAATCACATGCAGTCTGTAAAGGTCTTCCACAACAGAGATGTGAAGCAGCCCTGATAAATAATTCAGATGATTTATGTAATTAGTTTAAAATGCAATACACTTCTTTTTCTTGATAATTTCAGACACGAGTGCCTGTTATGAATGTAATACTTAGTTGGAGACAAGCTTCATATCAAACAATTCTTGAAAAAAAAGCAGTATGAAAATGGATGTCTAGACACTGTGTGGACCTCTGGGTGTGAAGAGGCACTCTTCCCAACTTGTCTCACTGCACACATTTCACACTGATTGCTGGACCAGAACACTGAGCTGAGGCTCCGGATCTGCTGCCTGCTCCTCCTAATCTTGGCAGCTGAACACAAGCAGAGACTTTCCCACACCATCTCAACTCACTTTTCTGGAATCACCTCATGTTTCAGAGGCAGGATCCATAGTCAGGCTATTCTGATGAGACAGGGCATTGGATTGCACAACCACTGTTGTCACAGCCAAAGGCGATGGTAGGCAACCACATCTCCCCGGTTTTGTAGAAGTGGCTCTGAACCATTTTTGTGCTTCACTGTCACAGTTCATTTCAATATTGCAACTGACAATTAAAAAAGAAACAAAGGAAATGTTAAGGCTAGTGTGTAGCCCAGACTGAGGGTCTGACTGTGAAAGATCCTGCCTGCTTTAGCCAAGACCAGCGCATGCAGCTCTGCCATCCATGTGGAAAGGGAATGGTTGATGTTCAAACACAACCTAGAGAGAGTGAAACGAACATGCAGGAAGGAGATTTCCTCCATAACTAGCCCTGTAGCTGAGAGATAAAGAGGATAGAGAGCAAAGTCTGTTCCGTTCAGGGAACAGCTTTGTATCGCATTACTCTCAGAGGCTTTTGTCTGAATTAATAAACAGTGCCTTAAGGGAAGAGGTTGGAAGCAACTTTGGCAAGATGTTAGCCCTTCCTTAGTTGAGGAGACAAGCCAGCAGCCATACGGCACTTATGGGATAATCTGCCCACAGGGAAGCTTCTTCTTAGCTCTCATTAGTTAGAGGTGGGTTTATACCCTGAAGCATGCAGCACAAATCTGGGAATTTTAAAAGCATTAGTAATAAGAAATCCACAATTAGCATTGTTTCTGCTCTTTTTAATTGACCATAATGCAAATATATTTAAAATGTCTGAAAGATACTTGAAAGAAATTCCTCTCTGCTGGTATCATGTTTAAATCTGTTATAATGCCCAAAGAAAATTAACTCACGTCTTAAATAATTCATGCATTTATTGGGTCAGAGGCTCTTTCAGATCTGATGCTCTGCCAATGGAAATGGCAGAGACACAAATGAGAAATCAGACAGGAGCATTACCCATGAAGTTCGAAGCTGGATCAAATCCTAGGCCTCTTGACGTGGGACATGTACGGATGAAAAGCTTGTTTTCAGGTGTGCTCTTTCCAAAAGCAATGAAGGTTTTCCTTGCAAGTGCCCTGCAATCAGGTCATATTAGTCATAAGCAGAGCTACACAGTTCAGCATAGCAGTAATAATTGGGAAAGACATCCAAATGCAGGAAGAGTTCAACCTATCCACAGCGATGTGAAGACCTTCTGCAACATCAGCGAACAGACAACACTGACTTCTAAAGCTGAGACTTACAGACAAGAGAATATGAACAGTTTAGTGGTAGAAGTTCTGCCTAAACTTCATAAAAATCAGCACAGCAGCTACGGGCTGCACCCTACAGGTGCACTGAAATGCCAATACTTCAACAACATGTACCAATGACATTTTTTGCGCAGCATGTCCCTTGAATAGGCTGGTGACCACTTAACACGTATTGTAACGAAGTAGAACTAGCTGAGGTATGCCAAGTAATTTAGCTTTTGACATAACTCTGCTAATTCACCTCAGCTGTGGCCTTTAGCACCCCCAGGTAGCCATTCCCTGGATCTCACATAAAAAATGACTGCCCATCATGATGAACCCATGTGGTCGGTTTATATTGCAGACAAATATCTGCTAGAGATGAGGTCAGGGCCACTGAACTCACTTTATTCGTGACCCTAAGCCAGTTTAGACCTTTTGTTTTTAGAGATGAAAAATGACTGCATTAACCCATGCACTGCAAAGCAAGCAGCAGCTTTCTGCTATCATGCAGTCAGCACAACACACCCCAGGACAAATACAGTGTACAAAGGCTGAGCTAAAGTCCTGGAAGGGGAACTTTTAGATCAGCTGTTACCAGTGAATTCTCTCTGTTGGAAGCACTCCAGGGATAGTTGATTAATTCAACCAGGGCATTGCAAAAGGCATGGATAAGCAATCCAACATCCATTTGGGAGAGGTGGTAATGCAGCACTACACTGTTCCGAGATAATCAAATGTCAGCCTGGCAACTCTGCTGATATGATCATTAAAGATAGGCTCAAATCCATTAAAACTTCCAGGTTTTTCATCTCTTGAGATGGAAACATCTTTATCTTACTTAGAAGAAAAACAAATATTTTGCATATATAAAGCTCTTTTACCCCCAAGGACTCCACTCAACATGGACTAGATTTTAAAATAGACTTCCAGCAGTTGCCTTTGGAGTTGTGAACAATTACTATACAGACTGCCCTACAATGCACAGGGAAACCTGATTGTATTGAGATCATCTCCAAGCATGAATGCACAAAGAGCAAAAGGATTACAGTCCCATTGCTTCTCACCTGCAAAGATTGGGTGCATGTGAGAAAGTGATACGTGGAGACTTGAACAGACAGATGGAGAATAATTTTTCACTAAGGACAAAATTCTGGAGGCTGGTAACTTCTCTGTCACTGAGCAGCAACTATCCCAGTTTTTGGACAAAAGAATGTTAGTGTGTGGCCACAGGATCCTGGGGCTCCTGACAAGATTTCCCAGTGTATTTTATATAGAGAATCTTCATCCAAGATCTAACTTTTCCAGATATAATGCGCTCAACAGGGTGAGTAACTGCTCCAAACAGAAGCATGAAATCTATCAGAAAACTCTTCATACCTGGCTCTGACCCTATCATATTTAAAGCACTTGCTACAGTCTGGTTAATAATTCCCATTACGGATAAGTACTTCTCAAGTGACCTGGTTCTAGTGCTTATCATTCCTATGAGCCTGCAGATACTGATTAATTCTAGCTCTCCAAGAAGGCATTGGCACCAAGTCAGGGAGGTTGCAAGAACACCAGGAGAATGCCTGGAACACCTACATTTCTTATTAGAAAAAGGCCACGAAGAGAACAACTCTTGGAAAAGCTCATTAAATACAAAAGCAAATGCTAATTACACACCTAGCATGATTAGTTCTTCTTGCATAGGGAATTCTTTAATCCAACCACTTGATCTAATCCACCTGCATAATAAATGAGTTATTACATTAAAGGACAGAACAGTACCTTTCTCACTGCTCTAATGGAAAGCAAATAGTGAGTTATTTTGCAGCGAAGCAGGCAAAGCACATCTATTTTCCATGCACAATATATGCTAACTGAGAACACATTGGACAGCAGCTACGTTATCATTAACCAGCATTTATAAATGAAGGTTCACAGGAAGAGTGATGAACACTGCAGCATTTTTTTTTAATGTATTCTCCCATCACATATCTATCCCAATAACCTCCCAGGAAAATAAGGAGGTCAAGAGAACAGTCAAAGTTGATGATGTTGAATTTCAAAACTACTATTATTAAACACGATCATTCGGAAAGCAAGAACTAGCAGAACTGCAGTGTGCCAGTTAAACCAAAGGTGACTAAGGCCACAAAAGGACTCCAGCACGTCCATCAGTCAGGGAGAAAGAGCAGAGAAAGTAAAAATTGGACTGAGGCAATCTCCAGCTCTGGTGTATTTACAGAAAGGGAGGAATGAGTAATATGCCGAGTGAAAATGAGTATATAAAACAAAAAAGCAAAGTAAAATGAAATGCTGCACCAAACGCATCCCCTAGCTCATAAATACAGATGCTGGAACCGCAGAAGGCTGCTGGTTTGAGTCACTTCAAGGTCTCTTGTGTACAAAAACCGATATACACAGTACTGTGGTTTCACACAAACTTATAAATAAGGGCTCCCAAGAACAGTGTAAATAAAAATTACCAAAAAAAACCCCACAAAAACACCACACAGATACAATGTGTAAGTGGGAAGAGCTCGTTGTTAAGAGTAAGAACTCTGCTGCAAGAATTTTCTAGAAGCATACTGCCATAGCAAATGGTCTCCTGAGATCTCCTCTCCAGAGCAGCTTCTGATGGCTGCACTTCCAGCAGGTGGCATTTTTGGTAGGGACTGCTGCAAGGGTACATCCTGACAGCATGCTGAGCCACCCAAGGGCACACACACATTCATTAAGGCCAGCAGTGATGTTCCACTAGAATCACAGCACAAAGGGCGTTAGCAGCAACTTGTCAAATAAAAGTTGCTTTGCCACTGATTTTCTCCTTGGCCGTTGTTTGTGGCGACTTACTACAACAATTCACGTAAGCAAAAACCAGGATATATGCCTTACGTGCCTTCCACAGCTTGCAGCCCACTGCACAACGTGTCCAGTTTCCTATCCTTCTGCAAACCCTCAGAGCAACAGGAAAAGAGAACACAATTTATTGAAGCAGGCCCAGAAGCCCCCAGATGGCAGGCAGTCACAACAGTCGTAAGAAAGAAATAACACAGCTAAGTAAAAAGAAAGCTTACACAGCTACTGCTAAACTTAACAAATAGCACCCTCCCCTTCAAGGCTTGAACTGAAAAATGGAAGAACTACTCAGAAGCAAGCAAATAGAAATGAAAATCTTGAGGATAAACTCAGAGCCGTGTCCTCATTCACACAGCCTTAATGTACAGACACAGGGCTGGCAGAGCAACATGAACTCAGCGTATTCAGAATTTCAGGATGAAATTCTCCATCCCGAAATGGAGAAATGCATGTTTCTCCAGCACCTCTAAATAGATTCAATTAAATGTCTTTAAAAAGAGCACTGGAATTCACCACTGGGGATGCAGGCGTGTGCTTGTGTACTGGAAGCAAGTAGACATTGGAGCAGTAAGTCCTGGAGTGCAAAAACCTACATTTCCTGTTCACCCAGACTGAAGGGCACAGAGCTTTTACAGGTAGAAGAACATATTGCTTAAACAAATGCTGACCTATTCAATCTTAAAAGAAAAGGCGATTTCCCTTCCTCAGTGTTTGCTGAACCCTTTGTTAAAGTAAGCACCAAAAAAACGAGTTCTCAACAAAAATTTTACTCCCTTCTCTCTGCAACTGGTGTCTTCCAGCCTGTATTTACAGCACGGAAACATATCATGCGAGATATATACCAGCAGTTACTGTTATTAGGCATAGATTTGTATTTTGAATTGTTGCTGTAGCAGTGTAATGATTCCCTAAGGGGATCAAAGCCATGCTGCACAAAGGGCATGTTGCAAGGATGGTATGCTGAAGAAGATGTGAGATTAATGCAACATGTCTTTGCTATTTGATTTCTGAGACAGAAATGGAAGAAGTTCCAAATCTTTGAGAAATTAGTTTGTTGGGTTTTTTTTTCCCTCTATCTTTCTTCCCCCACATAAAAATTCTAAACTCCTCAGTGCCAAGTGCACATCAGTACTGAAAACTTGAAATTCTGAAGTCTTCAAGGACAGAAACTCAGTTCCCCTTCCAGGTCTGTTTCAAAGATATGATGTCAGGATGTGATAGCAGCTAACCTGCACGGGTATTGCTGAGAAGAGCTTTCAAATATTCACGCACTGCTATCGCTGAATAAGCGTCGTAAGTGCTAACACAGCATATCTGACCTTACATCTGCTCCCTATTCAGCCTATTATTGGCTTTAACTAAGTGAAAGGCAGAAATAAGATGTCATTTAAGATGGATTCTCTTACGTTTTTTCTCTTGTAGCATTATCTGGGATTCACACATATTCACAAGCTGAAGATATGTGCTTGCTTTAGGAGGTCTGACAATCTGATAAGAGATGTAACACTTAACAAATTAGCCAGAATGTTATACTGGCCTGAATTCAAGGCAATGTTCAGCAGAACATTCCTAATACCTGTCATTATTATCATCTGAGACTGATAAAACAAAAGACACAGCCAAAACTCAAGTACTTGATACTTGTCCATACAGACACAGGGGCTCCAGCTCCAGCAGAAGTGATGCTGCCTAATTACACCAAGTCATATCAGCAACCAGCCCAATTTCTCCATGCTTCTCACCAAATTCTCACCTATAGCTGAATCTTCCCCATTCTCCGAAGAAGCCCTACTGAAATCGCATTGGCTGAATGGAGGATGCAGCAAAGATTCTCATCTCCTAGTTTAGCACTGTTACCACAAACCTTTCACAGATGCAAGTGCTATTCCATGCTCCACTGTAGGTGGTTGATATCTAGAAGCAGCAGTTAGAACCAAAACTGAGCTCTTAATTTGCTAGTAGCCCACCAATGTATCTTTCACTCTGCATGCACTGTTTATTGTGCAGAGCCATGGCAAAAACATAGAAGAGTTTAAAGAATAGCTTCAGAACCAAACATCACTTTGTAGGACCTTTCCAAGCATTCACTCCCAGCTCCCATCTCCCTTAAAGAAGCAGCAGAGTCAGGATGTTTTCTTTATGTCTGTCTTTATGTCTGTGTCTACTTCCACAGTCAGCTCATAAATCACTTCTCCCTACTTCAAAGTGAAGAAATAAGTACAGTTATATACTCCTCACAGCAGGCCTTTTTTGACTCTATTTTATGATGCTTTGGACTTCCCCAGAGCCAATGGAGTGAGGAACAAACACAGGATATTCCCTCTTCCTCTTCTCCATCCTCAAGCCTTCATGTTCCCATTTTGGACAGAGCTGAAATGCCAGAAAAGCTCACAGGTTCACAGCACATCCCACAGTCTTAACATCTTCTTTATCGGGTGGAAACTAAAAGACAGAGCATCCAGTTAAGGAATGACAGCTCCATGGGCACTGTAGAAGCAGATCAGCACAGCATGGCAGAATTTTGGGCCAGTTACTTCAGGCTAACCCTTCCTTGCTGTGAGCAGGCTAGGTGTCCATTAGCAGAGAGATTCGGTGCACCCCTGGTGTATCTCTCCTGAGTTAGTTTCATGCTACAGAAATCCGCTTGACGCACTTCCAGAACCACAGTGCATTGAATGAGAGATCACCTTAAAAGCTCACTGCTGACCTAAATTAAAACATCAGGGTAAAAACCCACCTGGCAAGCAGAATTTTCCTCTGTATCCAGGTGCTGTTTTGACCTGATTTACAGCACAACATAATGAAGTCTGAGTAGTTCCAGTTCCCCAATGTTAGTCACTACTCACTGATTAAAAAAATATCATTCTAAAAGAGCAGATGAAATGAGGTCGACAGGTAAGGAAGAAGAAAAGGATGGAAACAACTTACAAATTCAAAATCTTAGGAGCCTTGAGTTACTTTCATTAAAATGTTTTACTAACAGAGAAACAAAATCAGCATTAGAAACAAGTTTTCAGAGCCATAATCCTCCATTCTTTTTTTAAACTTTATTTTGGCTTTTAACTCTTTTTTTTTTTTTTTAATTAGTGCTTCAGTGGCAGATGTGATCAAAGCTTCTCTTTCCAAAGCAAGAAAATAAGCTTACTTCAGCTATCTCAGTGATAGATGCATTTCCAGTGCTTCCACTCTCAGTTCCAACCTAGAGGCAACTGATTTATTGTCTTTCCAGAAAGCCTTTAGCAGCTGTCTTTGGGTTTTGTGTAGTTATTTAACATTCAAATTTTCATTTTATGCATTAATAATCCCAGTAGAGGTGCTTCTTTATCACCTTTCGGTTGTGGTTTGCAAAATAATTTACGGATGCTGAGACTAATTATTGCCCATGAGGTTCTGCTCTGCCAGGACACATTGCCTTCCCTGCCCAGTGACTGCACAGAGCTGTAATTCACTCAGACTGATATTGGATGAACCTGGAAGACACCAGCAAGGCCTTGATGCCATAAGCACCTGCACACAGAAAAGTGCTTGCTCTGCAAACAGGTTATTGAAATCAGGGAAGATTTCTTTGGAAGGAAGCTTTTCTTTGGGTCATTCCTGGCATAGATAAGAATGATCCTAGGAAGGTTTTGAGAATGTGCACTCAAATCACAGTGCAGCTGGAAAAAATGAATCTTAAGAGTAACTAAGAGCTGTGTGGCAGACTAATGAGGAAAATATCAGCTGTCCAAAGGCTAACACCCATCTGCATAGATACAGTGCTATCGCATGGAGGAAGGGATACAGACTGGGAGGTGCACAACTGCAGCATCCGAACTTACAGCACACAGAGAGTGCACAGCACATGAAATATAAACTAAGTCTGTATGCTCACTTGGCAAATAAATAAAATATTTAACCACTTAAGGAGATAAGAAATAAGATGGATGCATAAAAAGAGGATTACGCTGCATAAAGATGAACTAAAGCTGGAATCTCCTTTGGGGTTAAAATCCATTCTTGATCTCCAGTCTCCAGGGTTATACTTGCTCTCTCTCTCACTCTGATGTGAATGAAGGTTAGTTAAGTCAGTTGCAAGCTCAACTGAGCATCTGAACTGGGCTAAGCAAGCCTGCTCCTTACTTTGTCCCTGGCCAAATAGCAACACACAGGAAAGCCAGCAATGCTCAGCAGGACAAACAACCCATGAGGGTCAGTCCTCCAATCTTCCTGCCTGGGAGT